AGTACGCCCCCTGAATCGAAACCCACAGCACCGAGTATCTCAAGTCTCCGAGGAAGAGCTTCGCCCTTTTCATCTGGTGCAGATGGCATCACGTCTTCTAAGTCCACGGTCAGCCCCACCAAGGAGTCTGCTTGACCACCAGACAACGCCGAAGCCACTACACTCTGTAGTTGCGCAGGAACAACAGGGGGGGCGTACTCGTCCGTGTACGCCTGCGCAGCTGCCATGGCAATCGCATTTCTTTCGAGTTTCAGCTCTTCGGGGAGAGTATTTTCAAAATGCTCTAGCATGGGCAATCCCCACGAGTCGTACTTGGCCCGTGTTTCATCAAGGGGAGAAACGGATTTGCGAAACAAACGCCTTTTGATGAGTAACGTAAAGATAAGCAAAATCGCAACCGCTGATGCTGCGGGTAGAGCTAGCCTATTCTTTTGCAGAAGGGAACCCTCTCCATGCTCAGTGCGATAAGATTCGGCGGCATCTGAATGCTCCAGAGCAACTGGTTCCACATTTTCATCGGATATGCCGACGTTGGCTTCGGCTTCGCCATCGCCAGGCTCAACTTCGGTACCCATAGTGCTGTCGAGGGGTGGAAAGGACGCCGAAAGGCGACGTCATAAAGTAGAAAATATAACCCCAAACGGGTTTATTAAATTTATCCGGTAATTAAATAACTAAAAAATCCCCCAAGGTACTCAGCATGCAGCTCAACTCCCACAGGAGATCCTCGTGGAAGCCGGGGGGGATCAGCTCCGCCAACCCGTAGCGATATACTTTCGCACGGTGCTACACAGAGNCTCGTGGAAGCCGGGGGGGATCAGCTCCGCCAACCCGTAGCGATATACTTTCGCACGGTGCTACACAGAGGCCGTTAAGAGGCCCTCAGGACTAGAAAAATAGGCCCATTTAGCTAATGCAATGATTTATTTGCTTAATATGCTGAAGGTGGATGCCACAGGAATAGTGCGCAATGCTCTTCTGAATTCAGCGGGCTGGCGTATATCTAGCATCGATCAGAGTCGAGACACGACAGGCAAACGCGTACAGGTAAAGTGAAACTAAACAAGATTCTGAAAAGGGTCGTATTCGGCACACTTATAGTGCACGTCCATGGCTGGTTTCCCTCTGTGGTCGAATATCAGCAGCTAGTTTTATCATCCCTGCCAGCACTGCCAGTTTAAACTTGGTTGGCATATTTCTACTTCAGCGCAGGCTGGTTACTGCAGGCCTAGTTGGTTTGAAGAATTGCCTTCAGTGTTAATGTATGCACTAGTGTCTACACCCAAAGGGGGCCTTGGTATTCGTGCAGTATACAGTATCTGCCAACGGATCAAATGAACTACGGACTAGAATGGGAAAGCTATAGTTTGGTACCTCAATGTTGGATCTCCCTGACAGTGAGGACTAAAGCGTACAGTTCGGAGTCACTGAGGGTCCAAACAAGTAAATGTGGAAATGAGTTTGGGCCATTTAACAAATCGTCGGAACAAATCCTTTTCTTTCAAGTAATTAGAGTACATAGCGTCTTGATGAAACCCTTTATTGCGAGATGATAGGTGTAATGAGAGCCTCGCGGCTGTCAATGGACTAACGCGAGCTGCAATGGCGCCAAATACTTGGGTCATCAGCTTCATTTGCCCGCAGTATATCCATCGGTGTAGACTCAGAAAACTCCATCGTATGAGGGAACTTGGATTCCTACTTGGTCTCAAAGTTGGGCTTTTGTTCGTGTTTGTGTTGTCGTTGGGGGCACAAGAGGCAGAGCTGCCGATATTCGTTGGTGCACACACTGACAAGAGTGGGATGACGTTTCGAGGGCCCTATGATCCCTAGGGCGCCAAGTTCCTCTTAGGTAGCCTGTGGTAGGGGTGTTGCACACACCCATCGCCTGAAACAACGCATTTGCGCTGCCCTGCGTCAACGGACGCACCACCTTTTCCTGTTGCTGCTGCTCTTGCTTCTGCTTCTGCAAGCGTACCGCTGCTGCTGTTTCTGCTGCTGCTTCTGCTGCTGCTCATGTCCTTATTCAAGGACAGAAGAGAGCTCCAATGAAGCAAAAGAGTTGCGGTGAGACGTTCTACATGGCAGGTGACCTCAGTCCCCTGTCTCCAGCCATTTTGGGCGTTCAGCTAGGGTCCTGAGGTTTCGAGGGAGGAGCCATCCTGAAAGAAGTTGCAGTGCATCGCGCTGCATTTGGTGAGGCAAGTCAGCCTCACATGTGAACAGAAGGAAGTTTCCGCAAAGCTTTCTCTACTGCATGCTTTGCCTCTGTGGACACTTATGGAGCATTTGTACTTGCTTGCATGCAGCCTATCAAGGCTAGGTGAATGTTCCTGTGCTAGCTACAGGCAGACCATGCTATAGAAACTGTCTCGCCTTGCACGATCCTGTAACGCCTGTTCTCTGGCCTTTATCGGACCAGAGACGAGCCGCAATGAAGGCACAGACTCCTAGCAAGAGTTTCCCAAAAGCAGCTGAACTCCTTCCCCGGTCCCTCGGCATCCTGGGAGTTAAGCTCAGGGCCTGGGTGTTGCAGGGAAGAGGCAGTCAGAAATGGGGTTGCAGGGCACCCCGCTGCGGCTGGCAGTGCAGGCCAGCCCCACGCGTGCAAAGGAAGCTGCAAGCTTTGCCTCTGAACGAACTTGTAGAACGTTTGCAAGCGCTTACACACAGCATGCCCAAACCATCGAAAGGCTCCTGAGCTAACTCCGCGCTAACTCATGCTACAGATACACCCAGCTCCTACGAGCACCGTTTCGTGTTCCGGGCGCTATGCCTATGGATTTCCCCTGTCTACGTTTGATCTGAGCTAAATAACTGAGCTCTATACTTGCACGTAAAAATTTGTACACGTAGATTGGCCTGACTGGAGTATTTTTTACAATGGGCTCACTAAGGACTGCGTTACCAGACGGACCCTCCACGGCGCGACAGTTTNTGGAGTATTTTTTACAATGGGCTCACTAAGGACTGCGTTACCAGACGGACCCTCCACGGCGCGACAGTTTGGGGCTGGACCACGCGGCTGCTGCATGCGGAAACAGACCTTGCAGTTGGTCCTTCGGGAATTAGCAGATCAAGTTCAAGTGCGATGTTCATTTCCTCCCCTTCACTACGGGGAAAACGAGCTGATTCCTTATGCTTGACCAAAAATGTGCCAATAGCACATGCAAGGTACTTGGGGGCTGCTCGTGATTGCCTCCCTGTAGGTAACCCCTCCTCCCTGTTGCCCCTCCCTCTCTCATTTTACCAGACAGTTCGAAAGATAAGTTGTAATTCTGCGGGCCAGGGGCCGCTGTAACTTCCCCTTCATATTCGTGTACGGAAATCGGGATAAGCGAAGATGGCGGAGGCATTTGAGCGCTTCAAGCGCTTTGAATACAGACAAAACAGTAACCTTGTGTTACAACGCGACCCCTACCTGACGGGAGCCCCAGGTGGGGCTCACCAGGGGGAGCCCACAGGCGAGCCTGAGACCCTTGCCGGGAGGAAGCTGTACCCGATGGGTGACAAGGCAGAGCGTGGGCTAAAAAAGGAAGAAAAGGAGAAGATTGGAAAGAGAAGGAACAAGATGAAAGAGGGGGGACTCGCTAAAAGAAGCAAACTGGTAAAGAGCGGAACGATATTTGCCAGATGCAGCCCATGGCACTGTNGGGACTCGCTAAAAGAAGCAAACTGGTAAAGAGCGGAACGATATTTGCCAGATGCAGCCCATGGCACTGTCCTCGCGTTGGGGTTCTTTGCTGATATTCGTCTCTCGTTTGAGGACTTGTGCTCTGTCTTACTCTGCACATGGTGGACTGAAACATGTACTTTACTGATCCTGAATTTGGCTGTGTTGCATGACGGCTTGGGGGGGGATGGATGCTGCAGCTTTCTGCGTGGGCAGTGATGATGTTTGCGACAATTTGAGTTTTTGTTTTGTTTACAGGACATTAAGAAGGGCGCAACAGTGCTTGATGCAGACGTGACAGAGAACTTTTTCTACCGGCCGACCACTCGAATCACCAACCAGATCTACGAACAGATGCTCGTGCTTCTACAGCAGCAGTTGGGAGACCAGCCAGACGAAGTCCTTCGTGGCGCCGCCGATGAGGTGCTCCAGGTTTTAAAGGAGGACGGGCTAAAAGAGGGGGAGAGAAAGCGAGGTATAGAAGGAGTTCTGGGGCCCATTACCCAAGAAAGATTCACGAAACTCTTTCAGCTTTCCAAAAGTATCACGGACTTTATGGGCGCAGATCAAGACAGAGATGAAGGAGGTGAGCTTTCCTTCTGCTTTAGGCTATCTTCATGGCCCTCGATGCTATATTTTGCTTTGTTGGCGAATGCTGGACCTTGAAAGCACAAATTTCGAGCTTTCGTTTTGTTCTGGTTGCTGACTACTACTTCATCGCTGAGCTTAGGGGTTTCTCCCCGTCAGATATACACAACCTTCGTAGCATTGTTTTGGAGCGGAGTGTCAGCACTGCCGTTCTTTCTGGATTTCTT